TGGATGCGGCATTCTTGACAGGTTGTTGCGAGCGGCCTTGCTGAATGACTAGCTGGTCGAGACGCAGCTTCTGGGCCGCACGTTCGAGCACCTTCTCTTCAATGGCCATCTCGGTGACGAATCGGAAGACGTAGACCTGCTTGGTCTGGCCAATACGATGGGCACGGTCCATGGCTTGCAGATCGGCCTGCGGGTTCCAGTCACTGTCGAAGAGGACGACGATATCAGCAGACGTCAAGTTGATACCAAGTCCACCAGCACGAGTAGTCAGGAGGAACAGGAACTTCTCCGACCCCTCCTTATTGTAGTCGTCGATGGCCTGGATACGGTCCTCGTGGGCGGTCGAACCGTCGATACGGCAGTACTTGTAGTCGCGCATCACTGAGTAGTCCTCCATGATGTCTAGCACACGACTCATCTGCGAGAAGATGAGCACTCGGCTGCCCTGAGCCTTCATACGTTTCAGCAGCTTGTCCAGCATGACCATCTTCGCAGCGTTGGTGACGAGATGTTCATCGGTGGTGTATGGCGGGCCAGGCTCGGCGCCTTCGAAAAGGTAGGGGTGGTTGCAGCACTTTCGGAGCTGCATGACGATGTTGAGCAGACGGGTCTTGGACTCCTTGTTGCCGGCACCGCCATTAACCGCGTCGATGTCCTTTTCGAGAATCTTCTTGTACCACTGAACCTGCATGTCGGACATGCCAACGTACAGGTTGATCTCCTTCTTGGGCAGAAGCGACTTTTCGACATCGGCCTTGACACGTCGGAGCAAGAAGGGCCGGAGGACCTTGTGGAGTTGTTGGACGACGGCGTCCGAGTCGGCGTTCTGGGAGGTGAACCAGTCGTCGAAAGCGGCGGAGTCTCCGAAGACGTCGGGGAGGAGGAAATTGAGCAGGGCCCAGAGCTCGTGAAGGTTGTTCTGGAGGGGTGTACCTGTGATTAGCAAGCGGCTTCGGGAGTTGAAGACGCGGACCATCTGGGCGAGCGACGATTCCTCGTTCTTGATGCGGTGGGCTTCGTCGATAATGATGTACTCCCACGCAAACTTCTTCAGATGCGACTTCTCACGAAGAATCATCTCGTAGGAGGTGATGCAGACATCGAAGCCATCGGGCACCAGGCGCTCCTTGATGAGGTCGGCACGGTCGTCCTTGTTACCCTGGAAGACCAAGACGTTGACGTCGGGGCACCACTTGGCGAACTCGCGCTTCCAGTTGTCGAGTGTCGACTTGGGCACTGCGACCAGGTGAGGACCGTGAATGCCGGCGATGTAGCGGAGGTAGCCGATGAAGGAGATGGTCTGCAGCGTCTTTCCGAGACCCATCTCGTCGGCGAGGATTCCAGAGATACCGTTCTCGTGTAGCGAGATGAGCCAGTTGAGACCCGCAACCTGATAGTCGCGCATGGTGCCGCCCTTGATGAAGCCCGGTGATTCCCTAAAGACCGTCTCGTTGTGTCCGCCATGCTTCTCCTCGCGCACCAGCTCGGCGTCCTCCTCCTGCTCGGTCTTTCGGCGACGCTCCGCAGCAGCACCTCCTTTCCGCACCTTGCTGGCCTTTGATTTCTTGGTCTCTTCGGCATCCTGGCGGTCGATCTCGGCGAGAATCTCCTTAATGCGCGGGTTGGGGTTCGTGTCGATGAAGTGACGGAACAGGTCCGTCAGACCGAGGAGGTATCGAAAGCGGCGGATGGTGTCGTCTTCCTGTGAGGGCAGCCAAGTTAGTGATGTCTCGGGATGTAGTGCGCAGTGAAGTCGCGTACCTTGGACGCCCTAAGCCCCTCAGCCTTCTTGCCGTACATGCTTTTCCGCATGTTCATCTCTTCGGCACGTTTTCTTCGGCCGTCGACTGGCGCGTCACCTGCGACGCTGTTTGCTGTGGTGTTGGGGTTGGTGTCCGAGTCCTGTGCGCGTGTCAGTTGTTGGGCCGGGTGCGTGTGGCGCGGTGTTGGAGTCATCGTACTGTGTAGTCTGGCGTATCTACATTGTACTGCGTCTGGAATGTTAGCCAATGTCTTCTCGGTGTCGCGCCTTCCTCCCGCATGACATGTGAGTGTCGCGGCGAGGAAGGCGCAAACGGGGGTTGCGCTTACGCCAAACTTCTTGAAGCCGTTCATTGTGTCGTCTGGCTGGTCCTGCATCTCGACATCGGAATGCGCCGACGCCTCATCCGAGGACGGTTCTTCCTTCTTCGCAGCGCTCTTCCGCGGCATGTTGCCTGTTTGGGCTGTTCGCCGCGTGTAGTTGTGCTGGCGTCACGGTCGCAATGGCGCAGTGAATGGTAGTACGTCTGTCGATGTTTCGGAGTGTTGGATATGATGACGTGGACGCGTTGGGACGTGTTCGTGGCGGCAGAGGTTTGCGCGATGTATGTGAGGATGGCTTGAGAATAACTGTGGACGACCCTTGGCGCGTCAGGTCGGCGGCGCGCTATCCTCGTTGCGGTCGTGCGCACTACCCCATGCCTGCCTCTCTAAGCCCACCAGCTTCCATTCGCTCAGCGACTCGACATCTACGCGTTTCCGACTACGAACATCAATCCATTTGAAAGATGATGCCACAGAAGGGAGGAGATGAGACGGACGCGATTTGCGACGCGATATCGAACATGACGTCAGACAGTTGTTTCCATCACCGGGGCCATACACGATCGATTCAGGAGTGCTATGTTGCCTGCTGGCATAGCTTGCTTGAGCCACAGTATACTGGAGCTACAATACGAAATGTTGTTTCATTGTTTCGACGACTTCTTCTAGCCTATGATCCTACATCTGGATTGCTCGCCAAAGTTTCCTCTTAGGATCACGGTTATCTGTTGAACTGGTTCTTCATCGTTAAGCTTTCGAGCTGAGTAGGCTACCATCAGCCATGAAATGGGTCATAGCCGATATGAACCATCTATCAAAAGCCCTAGGTCTACAATATCCCATCGGCATCTCATCGACATCCCATCGGCATGGTTGAGAAACTGCATTGCAAGATTACCAAGGCATTAGGAGCCGTAGAGTGGGACAATAACGCATCGTAAGTCGGCAACATGAGAAGCGAAAGACTGCAGCAACTCTCGAGATTGTTAAGCATGCATGATCAGTCGGCGTTACTTCTCCACCACTGACGTCACCGTAACCAAGACAATCATCGCATAAGTAGAGTCCCTGATATTGTTGTCAAGACACCATTCTCGTCACGTGGCCAATCGTTCTATCCGTCTCCCAAACATGACCGCTTCATCCATCACCATAATCTTCTCACCCTACCACGTCGGCCTCCGCAACCACCGCGTCGGCGACGGCCCAAACCGGATACGTTCCCTCGGACTCATTCCCCAACTTGAAGCTCTAGGCGTCACCGTCCACATCGATGAAATCGCACCCGTCGACGACTTCGAAGGCGAGATAGGCCGCAGTTTCGAAGTCCTCCGCCGTACCTCCCTCGCAGTCAGCAAAGTGCGAGACGGCAATTCCTTCCCCTTTATCCTCTCTGGCAACTGCATGGCTAGCGTAGGCGCAGCATGCGGGTTGGGTATCAAGGATCTAAATTTTGTTTACTTTGATGCGCACGACGATATGGACACGCCTTCGACCAATGAGAATGGGTATTTCGACGCCATGGGCTTGTCGATGTTGGCGGGTAAAAGTTGGCATTGGCATACGGAGCAGATACCGGGGTACGCGCCGATGAACTACAAGGACCGGTTCTTGTATGTCGGACTGCGCGATGTGAATGAGACGCAGAGGAAGACGGTTGCGGAAGCTGGGGCGGATGTTATTTGGGGTGATGCTGGGAAGGCTGTGGATTTCCCGGGTGAGTTGGAGAAGAGACTTGACAAGAGGGATATGTCTCCATCGCTTGTGCATCTGGATTTGGACGTCCTGGATAAGAGTGTAGGCATGGTGAATGGGTTTGAGAGTGAGGGTGGACTACAAGAAGAGGATGTGGTCAGGTGCATGAGTTTGTTGCCGAAGAAGGCCACGCCGGTCTCGTTTACCATGTGCTCTTTCAACCCGAATCTGGGTGATGGGGATAAGATTGCAGGTATCGGTATTCGCGCTGCCGTAGCATTCGTAGAGGCGTTGATTGCGACATCAGTGCTATCAGTGTAATAATAGCGAATGCGATCAAGAAGTATATATCAGACCTGCAACAATGAGATACATCCTGGTCCTAGAATAAGTTATCGTTGTCGTCGTTATAAACAGGGGCCTTCGCCCGTGCTTCTCACAAAGGCTCCCGAGGTCAGCATGAGTGGAACGACAGACTTCCCCGTAATGCTCAAGAGATGATCCATGCAGAAGCAAGAGGATGCGACTGCAACTCCACGTCGGATAGAATGCAAAATGGTAGCTTCCGCTTGTTAAGAGCAGCCGATTGCGCCCAGAGCCATGGGCCTGGAAGTCCCTGGATGCGGTGGCCTTTCCGCCAAGCCGCGCGACCCCAATTCGCCCCACCCACCTCCAACTGCCTTCCTTCTCGTTATCTACAGCAATGACCATACGCGTTTCAATTTCAGCGCGACGCTGGACACTCACGTCGCGTACTTATTCTACTCTTACCCTAACTCACGCGCCGTGCGCGCAGCCCACCCGCCTACACAGCTCTGCCGAACGGTGGACGCGCGACGCCCACCTGCCCAGGCAACAGCGAGGATATCTGCCCATTGGCCCTTTACACGCAGCCCGCCATGTCACTTGTATGCAGTGCAGACGCCATGCATAGCAGCGTCACGCCTGACCTCATAGCCGAGTGCTTCGAGCGTCTACTTTTACCGGTGAGCGGTGGGGCATAGCCCCCGCTCCTAGGCAACGCTCATCCACGTCAAGTCCTCCCGCAGCATCTTTTTGCAGCTTCGTGTGCTGCGACAAAGTTTACTCATCTCTTCCCAACACGTTATTACTGAGTACCCCCGCAAACGGTACCATTCTATCTACACAAGCGTCGGCAGACGGGACAGCTTCATTTCGTCTATGTCAGCCTGACAGCGGAGACAAGGCCGAACATCCAAATGCGCCTCATCAACTGTACAACACTACAGCTGGAAGAGTTCTTCGGCGCCAATATCCCGGACTATGCTATTCTTTCGCATACCTGGGGCGATGAAGAGGTGTCGTTCGCCGATTTTACCTCGGGTCAGCCTCTGGTCGGATCTGGTTACCAGAAGATCATTTTCACTTGCCAGCAGGCGATCAAAGATAAAATCGGCTACGCGTGGGTAGACACCTGCTGTATCGACAAAAGCTCTAGCGCGGAGCTTTCTGAGGCAATAAACTCTATGTTCGCCTGGTACCAGAAGTCAGTCCGCTGTTACGCGTATCTTTTTGATGTATCGGAAGCCAACGTGGACCAAGAATTCCCCAAGAGTAGATGGTTCACACGTGGATGGACACTCCAGGAGATGTTAGCCCCAACAACGGTTATCCTCTACGATCAACAGTGGGTTGAGTTGGGCTATCTGGAAGAGTACGCCGAGGAGATATCGAAAATCACAGGGATAGATGGGGCAGCTTTGTGGAGGAAAGTCTCGTGGAGGGACCCGAGCCTTGGACTTGAGAACAAATTCGGTTCCTATTGCGTCGCGACACGGATGTCATGGGCTTCCAAGAGGCAGACGACACGTCCGGAGGACATGGCCTACTGCCTCCTCGGGATCTTCAACATCAACATGCCGCTTCTGTATGGAGAAGGTGACCGGGCATTTCGTCGCCTCCAGGAGGAGATTATCCGGAAGAGCGATGATGATTCCATCCTTGCCTGGGCTCTATCGCCAGAGGACAAGCATACTAGTCTTCTAGGGCTTCTACACAACGATGATATGCAAGATCTTTGCGATGTACCTGACGTCGACTTTTTGGCTCGCTCACCAGAAGACTTCAAAGACTGTGCCGGCTTGACCCGCGCTACAGAACCATTGACTCTGTTCACGTTGACCAACACGGGCTTACAAATCCAATTACCAATTGTGCAGGTCTTTGAACGTCGCCGAGTCCCGGGTAACGCGCTGGCCAGAGTTGACGTCCCCAACCGCTACGTGGGTAACAGGGCATGCAACGACGAGTATGACTGTCACATGATGGAAACTCCAGTCCGTGTATGGATCGGGCTACTCGGGTGCTCGCGAGTGTCAAGCCAGAACTTTCTAGGTATTCTGCTCTCCCCGAGTGGAGACGAGAAGAAGCCCAACGTAAGAGTGGTTCGTCAAAGGTATCTTTATGGCACTGTTCTTGTTGGTCCAAGAGTCGCTTTCGGTTCAGTTAGTAAAACAGTGACAATCGCTGGACTCAACGGTTTCCAAGAGGCGCGATACGCCGACTCCTTCGGCGACTATCAGCGGATTATCGTCAACGAATGTGAAGCCATCCGCAAATTTGGGTATCAAGTCCAGGGCTGTAGTGCATGGGATATTGGTATGCAAGGAGAATCACCACTGGCTTACCGTCCACTTTGGGATCCAAAAGCCAAGATTCTTACCATAAGAGAAGATGATCCGTATCACAATATGTACGAATTCAGCTTCGAAAGATCGTCGGGTGGTCAAAATCACAAGTTCACTGTCTTTGTAACTCAGACCGGTATGGGCGCAGTAAGGGAAGGAGATGTCTTTTCAGAAGATGAAAGGTTCGCTTTATACGATCTCCTCAGGGACAACGACGATCCACTTGATTACGAGAATCCAGTCCATGACAAGGGCGAAGTTTTGGTACATGACGACAAACAACGCCGGTTCCACGTTAGAGTTGAGGTTCACTTCAAGGTTATTGGCCATCATGAGCTGACCAGGGTTAACGTTTATGCTTTGAGAGACGGCTTTGTGGATACGGATCATCGTTGGGATTGTAACTGTGAGAAGCATGTATATCCGCATTGATCTATACTTGGTATTCATTCTACTTAGTTATATCGTTGTGTTGTACAACGGCCCCACATGCATGAACGATTTCACATCGTCCTAGAGGATAACTCGCCCTCACATGAGCCAAAAGTGAAAACTAAGACGGCCTACAACCCCGACTATACGTGGCTGTCAATGGATACGAGGCCTGTCATCTGGCATGGAGACGTCGTAACCATACTTTGAGATAGTCGAGCAGTATCATACATTCACATCACTGTGGACGATAACAATCTTCGGTCATGAGCTTCAATCGCCAAGCAGCCGGAAGTCTACATCCGCGATGGCGTCTGCCAGCAGGTACACATCACGTGCGCGCGGGCATGATGCGCGAGCCTAAGGCACCCGCGGGATGGAACCTTGCTCGCCTACAGTACGAACCTAAGAAGCGGCATACTGAATCGCATTGTTGTGAATGTACCTCCAGACAAATCCGCGCAACTCCCTATCCTCCCAAGTGAGCCCACGTCATCGGCGCATTTGTCGGGCGTTCGCTAACCACGTTGGCCCCACCCGGAAAGCCGCATCTCCACTCTCACCTCCAAACCACGCGATAAGAGCCGTTGGCAACGCCAGCGCGCGGTGGCCTCGGAAAGCTATCAGCGCCCACCGGCCTTCCTGTTTACGATATTTTTGACGCCCTTTACGTACATGCGCAGCGCGCATAAGGCGTGCCGATGATGCGGGCCAGTCAGGCTGAAGGGCCGAGTGCTTATCAGGACGATGGCGGTTTTGATCCTGGTAGCATCGCAGACACGGACTTGTCGTGTCGTTGGATTGAAGATGGGTTAGGGAATGGTTCGGGATCATGACTCTGTGCCAATGAGAATGGTGTCTTGGAGATCAATCGATTCGGTAAAGCAAGAAATGCCGCCGACGTATAAAGCTCGCAGGCCTACAGCTGTATGGAGCTTCATCACGGACTTTCGCTAGACCCCGGTTTGGACTTCTCGTGGACAAGATGCGCTTCTCTCGGTCTGTTGGCGTCGCGTCTATCGTCGTTGCCGGTGTGCAGGCTGCTGTTTCTTCAACTGGATTCACGGTATCTCTGACCGACATCGACTACTTCCTGCCACCAAAGCCAATTGCGAAGATATCGAGCTGCGAAGAGATTCAGGCCTCCTTCGAAGATGCTCCGTTTGTGCCGTTCACAGTGGTGAAAGCCCAGAACGGTAGTTTGGATGTCGCGTCGCTGACAGCAAGCTACGCGCATGATGATGTATGGCAAGAAGGTTTCATGGACGGTATGCATCCAACTTATCGCTCTTGAGATCCTCGCTGATCATATTCTCCAGCCATCTACGTCCAAGGAAGCGATCCCAAACCAACGAACTCTTCATTGACCATACTATCCGGCACCGCATCCAAGGAACTAGCTCCGGGCCCCTACTTCATCAACGCAGCTGGTCATGTCTACGAAGCATGGAGATTATTTTCCGATATGCAGGGCGCTTTCACCGAGTCTGCGATCGCGAACGGCGACGGTTCATACTCGGTTTTGCCCGCTGGCACTGTAGGCCAAAAGCATGCCATCGCCGTGCCTTCGCGGCTGTACTTCACCAAGACGGCCGAGAAGCCTTTGGCTGGTGTAAGAATTGGCATCAAAGACATCTACAGTATGATCTCTCAGCACCGCGTAGGCTATGGTCTTTGAGCATGGACTGACAATACCCTTAGATATCCAGGGCCTGCGAACATCTAACGGAAACCGAGCTTGGTACTGGCTGTACCCTCCTGCTAATGCGACTGCGCCGCCCGTTCAGAACCTGATCGATGCGGGAGCGATCATCGTCGGCAAGATGATCACCTCTCAATTTGCCAACGGGGAGACCGCAACGGCTGACTGGGTGGACTACCACGAGGCATTCAACCCCCGTGGAGACGGCTACCAAGACACCTCCTCCAGTTCCTCCGGCGGTGGCGCAGGTACCGCATCCTATTCCTGGCTCGATGTCAGTCTCGGATCCGACACCGGCGGCAGTGTGCGCGGCCCATCGCAAGTCCAAGGTCTCTACGGCAATCGTCCATCTCATGGATTGGTAGCTCTAGACCACACCATGCCGCTCAGCCCGGTGCTCGACACCCCCGGTCTTCTGGCGCGCAACCCTCAAATCTGGATGGAAGCAGCCCAAGCGATGTACGGCCCCAACATCACCATCACAAGCAGCTACCCAACTAGCATCCAAACCCTCGGCTGGCCCACCGAAGTCGAAGACGTCGCCGACCAACTCCTCATCGATTTCCTCGGAAACGTAACCGATTTCCTGAGCGCCAACGCCACCGCGTTCAACGTCACAGCCTCTTTTGACGCTGCGAACCCAGATGTCGCACCTCTTACGGTCTTCCAGAACCTTACCTACGCCGTCCTAATCACCAAGCAGCAAATCGAGCTCGTCCGCGAACCCTTCTACGCCGATTACGCCGAAGTCCACGATGGCCGTCTTCCATTCGTTAATCCCGTCCCGCTGGCTCGCTGGGGCTGGGGCGACAACCAGACCATCACCGTCGAAGAGGCTGTTAACAACAAGACCATCTTCCAGACCTGGGCTAACGAGACCTTCCTCGCTCCATCACCAGAAACCTGCTCAGAGTCCCTCGTCATGTACGTCGGTTCCACCGGCGGAACCACATACCGTAACACGTACTGGGACGAGCCCGGCGTGCCTTTTGGCTTTGGAAACAGTCGCATCTCGGTTATGGCGGAGGTGCCGGATTATGTTGTGCCGTTGGGTGAGGCGCCGTATAACTCGACGATTACGGGGCATGTGGAGTATTTGCCTGTTACGGCGAATTTGATGGCGGCCAAGGGGTGTGATGGCATGTTGTTCTCGCTTATTAATGAGTTGTATGAGGCGGGTATCTTGAAGGAGAGTAAGGTAGGACAGAGTGGAGTTACGGGTGGGGAGATCTTGTTGAGGAGGGATGGGCTATGGTGAAATGTTTGTATGTAGTGCAATGAAAGAAGCTCAAATACACTCTTTCACCCTTGTTCGTCACAATCCATCCACAACCATACCCTAGTCATGCCGTTTTCTGGCTCTCTTCTTGGGAATATCTGCTGCGCTTCATTGCGATTTCAGTCACAAACCAAGCGAACTTGCACACGGTTGTCGAGCGGAAACAGTGACGAAAGTCTGGGCAAGCTCGTTAGAAAATCTATTGTGCGATGCGAGAAGAACTCTATTGATTACCTCATGCTCAAAGAGGTTGTACCAGTAGCTCATTTCAAGCCCTTTGCCATCGTTCTCCATGTGATTAGTCAGGATCAAAGCGGCGCAACGAGATTGCCGTCAACGGCGGGTGTTGGATGTAGAACGCCAGGGTTGAAAGCCAAAGTGCGGCCGTTGCTATCGGAATGAGCTTTATTCCGCTCTTGCTGATCACGAAAAGCCGTTCCTTCCTCCCACCAAGCTGTCAATGTCGCTATAAGCTCCTTTGTCTGCGGATGCTCGTCACCCAACAGTCCTCTTGAAGTCACGGCTGCCTCGTGTAACTTATCGTATGCGTCGAGATGGCTATCCATGGCTCTGTAGGTCAGAGCGAGGTTGAATGCTACCGCGATCAAGCGCTCGTCCGCTAGATACGTAGGCGGTGACTTCTTCATCTGCGAATAGAGCGCTTCCTGTCTTTTCTTGGCCTCTTCGTAGTCCTCGCTGCTTTTTGCGAGATCGAACAAACACGATGCAAGATTTGATTGAACCAGGAAAAGGAATGCTGTCTCGTGCGACAGTGTTTCTGGGCGAAACTTCAGAATGGACGAAGTGTCCCTCTCGAGACCCAAGTATAGGTCTTTAGCCTCTTTGAGTTTTCCAGCGGCTTGTAGGATCTGAGCCAGATCGTTCTTCGAGTTGCGAGTGAGGCTGTGATCTTCACTGAACTTCTCTCGCCGTCGGTTGTAGACCATCCTCTGCTCTTCTTCTGCACTGTCGTACTTCCCCATGTCTAGATGAGTCAACGCATGTCTCACCCGGCTACGCAGGACGACAGGATGGTCCTTAGCGTCCGCACTCGCTGAATCGTAGAGTCGCTTTTGATCATCGATAACTTTGTGCAATAGATCGTCCGCTTCTTGGAAACGGCCCAGCGAATGATAGATGCCAGACAGCGTGTATCTTGAGATGACTGTGTCGGCGTGGCCGTCGCCCAATAAGTACTCCTGTGTCCTCAAAGTGATTTCTTGTTCGTCGAGCGCCTCCTCCCACTTTCTCAGACCGAATAGCGTGACAGCATACTGATGTCTAGCAACTAGATAGTCCGGATGGTCTGAGCCAAGAAATTTCAGTCGTTCCTCCATAACGAATCGTATGAGATTCAGGGACTCAGTCAGCATTCCCTGTAGGCGATAGTTCATAGCAAGGTCGTAGTTGATGTTAACGGTGAGACGGTGAGTCTGGCCCAGTTCCTCATTCAAGATGATGAGTAATCTTTTCAGCATATCGTGCACGAAGTTCAGATCCGCATCATCACGGACCTGCTCGCAGAGTGCCAGACAATGTATAGTGCGTATCAAGGATGGGTACACGTGGAACGGCTCCGGTCCCTGAAATGGGTCGGGGAAGCCCTGTTCGATGTGTTGCTCGATACCACGACGGAGGCGATCGGAAGAGAAGAGCAATTCCTTGAGCTCATTTTTCTTGAATGTCACACCCATAAATTCCGTGGACGAGTTGTGTAGATTGTCAACGTCTGGGACCGCTTCGGCGTCTCGCATGTAAGATTGTGTCCGACTTAAGAGAGGACGCAGATGCCCTTCTCCCTCTGTTGGGTCTCCGTACTTGTTCAGTTCATGCAGCAGGATGTCGATGGCTTTCTTGTGTGCTGGGTCCCACTCTCCCTTGGTGCGAAGGATCGTTGCTAACGTAACGCCAAGATAGGAATTGGTCTTTTCGTGATCCACGATACCATGCGCAATTGTTTTGGCCTTATCCCAGTCACCGATTGCTAGCAGTACCTCAGCCAGGATGGCTCTTGACTTGAGTGTTTGGGGATGCGCGTCGCCGAGGTCCTCACTCTTTGCACATCTGTCCACGAGGTAGAGTGCGGTTTCTTTCGCGTCCGAATAGCGCCCATCGCTCTTGTACATCAGTACAAGGGTCTGCATAGCCTGCAAAGTTGATGGATGGGATTCATCTAGACGTTCTCGCATCTGCCGAAAAGTCGAAAGAACTTCTTCCCCGGCATCTGTTGGTTTGTTGTCATACACAAGCAGCCAAGCACGTAAACTTGCTGCATCAAGTGTTATAATATGCTGTGGTCCAAGTCGATGCTGTAGGTCCTTGAGTACCTCTTCATTGGCAAGATTGGCATCGGAGAGCTTCCCCATCTCGGATGATATGCGGGCGTGATTGTACAAGCATGTATTTACCACGTCCTCACAAATGTCCTGTTTTGCAATTTCGTATGGAACCTCATCAGTGTTCTGTTTCTGGAGATTTTCTCGATGACCGCTGTGGTGTTTTGTAATTCCTTCGGCAAGATGTATAGCCTCTTTGCTCAGCTGCCACGCGTGTCTGAAGGCGCCACTAGATGCAAGCACAAGGGCCCATGTACTCAGGAGCGAAGGTTGAGGGGCGTTCTCGAACCGTTGGCAATATCTCCGGATAGTGGTCCTGGCGTCACGAGTTCGTCCCTGTTTCAATTGCGCCAGTGCTATGCCTTTTCCAGTGTCACCAATCAGCTTAGCATCTGTGTCCGTGTCCGCTGCCTGTTCTATCTCACACTGAAGGTCTTTGAACATTCCCTCGGCGGATTTGTACTTTCCGTTGAACCAGGTGATCTGAGCAAGGCTAAGGCGCAGGCGAAAGTAACTTTTACTCTTGTGTGAGGATGGATAGCTCCGGACAAGAAATTCGAAACGAGTTTTAGCATTTGCGAAATCGCCCCGGTAGTAGTATTCAGATGCGACGTACTTGAAGTACTTCAAATCTTTGTCTTGTAGATCGACGATCGCGCGAACCGGTGCGTCGCCCTGCTTGCCTGCTTTCCCCCGAACGTTGTCTTCAGACTTGAAGTCAGGAGGTATCGACTCGATGATGTGTCCGCTATTCTTTATCTGATTTACTTTCGATGAATTCTGCGAAGGCTGGATCTGTGGCTTTTGAAGCAATTCCGCAGGCTGAACCGCATCCGCCCACAAGGTTGCGGAAGTATCGGTCTCCGATTTCATCAGCCCTCCTTTTTTGCCCAATGAAGTAAGATGTGCATCAGATATAGCCTGACTAGCTTTGGACGTCTCTATTTGTTGGTCCGATGATACGATATCTGATCCCTGGTCGGAACATAATGAGTCTCGCATCTTGCCTGACGGGGCGAAGGTTATTGGCAAAGAAGCAGCCCTCAAAGAAGAAGCTTCCTCCAACGACGATACGATTTCAGCCACTTCCTCTACTGCGACTCTACGATAGCCCAAGTCTACATTCTCATTTGATTCGATGGATGATTTACTCCTTATCGAGAGACCGGAATACACGCGGGAGTCCTTTCGAACAACCTGTCCTATCTTTAGTCATAGTTGGACGATTTGCAATGGGTTGAGAAGCTACCTTGGTAGGATCGTGCACGATCTCATGGAACAACAGCTTTGTACCCTCTCGTTCTACATCCTTTCGCAAAGTCTCAAAATCTGACATCGCCCTTTTAACGGTTTCGTACTGAAGTAAAGGCTGTTGCTTCTCACTTTTGAGGTGAAGAAGAAGCCTCTCGCTGTAAGAGTTCCAGTGTTCTGGAAGCCACAAGTTCTGCGGGCGTGCATCCGGAAGTCCTACGGCGATGAGTCCGACGGGGAGACGAACAGAGTCTGGGTAGTACTGCAATTCCACAATAGCTTGCTGGGTAACCCAGATAGCAGAGTTATGTGTGACAAGGACAAACGCAACATTTGGTGAGTCCTTGTTCACCAGTCCGACAAGGTCGGTAGCAAGACGTGAGCTAAGTTTACGCAATCTTGACTCACCCTCACGAAGTAGTCTGGCGGTGTCATAACTCCAGATATGTATTTTGCGTGGCTTGATCCTTTCACAGATATCATCAACTGTCCGATCTAGAGATCGGGCAAGCTTTGTGCTGGCGTAGCATCCGTGAACAAACACGACCCTGAAATCTTCAGTGCTAATCCCACGCGGCGACAACGAATTAGCGAATTACTCACTCGAGGTTTGAATTAATAGATAAATTGCTTGACTGCTGGCAAGTTCGCAGATACTTTGGTGAGTTCTTCAAAGTGTGGATAGCCGCTGCGACGCGATCCATCTGTAGCAACGGAGTGACGCAATGCGTGAAAGTTGGTGCGGGTGTGCGCGAAGGGCAGAGGTGTAGGGGGCAGAGCGCAAGCCAAAATATGACAGCCTGCTGCGCAGCGCGCACGCGCCCTGGCTGATGCAAGCCAGAGTCAGAGGGTGTGGGTGCCAAGCCACCTCAGTCATCGACAGGAACGCCTCGTCAGTCTTCACATCCCACCTGCCTCAGCCCTCGCTAACTCACGCTGCGTTGATATTTCTGCTAAAACACTCAGAATAATTACAAATCAACCAAGCGAAGGATCTTGAAGCCTGGCCGGTCGCGTCGGCGTCCCGCGCATCGGGGTTGCGTATTGCGACCATGGACCCCAAAGCTCTGCACGGTCGCTCAACTTTTCCAACAGTTCACCGTATGATCACGTACGGTCAGCCGCCACACAATAATTCGCCCCTGCTCTTAATTCGGACCTTGCGGCTGTTATCTTCCCGCATTTCTATACCAACCCCGACAATTGGCGGTCCTCACAATCCAGCCTGCAGCGCGCTACTGCATCCACCAATGAGGATCGGCAGCCACACGGCAGGACCCCCAAGCGCATTCTTACCGGAGCGCCGAGATGGGTGGCAGACAAGGCTGAACAATTGTGCGTATTTACCATGCATCCTCTTTTAAGAAGCGCAGGCGTTCAGACACTCCGGTTCAGCAGCCAGCCTAGTTACCTACTTTTCAAAACTTGCAAGCATGGAACATCTGAAACTCCCCTATCTCGAGGGCTTCTCGGTCACGAACTTTGGCAACAAGTACGACTCCAGCGTTTCGTTTCAGAATTTTCCAGGAAAGGTAGGCTGGGCTGTCACTACTGCCTCTGGCGAGCTCAAAGAAGAAGAAGTAGACGGGGTGTCTAGGAAGCCTGAACTGGAGTTCAAAGAACTGATGCAGTCATGGCTTTTCTTTGGTCTAATTACCGCTGTGGTCTATGATGATAACAACATCGACAAGTGGGAGCTTGTTGCATCTGACTTTGACCCAGACGACAAAGGAACACTCACTACAAGGGAATTGCCAAGAATACTGGAAGATTGGCGAAAGAGGGAGATCTCGCAAGATGGGAAGCCGGGCCAGAAGATGCGCATGATACGGGCACAACTCGCATTAGATCTGGCTCGAAAGGTGGTCAACACGTACTGTTCGGCTGACAGCCCGAAGCGCGCAGCAAGACTTCTCGACAGTAAGGTGGCACTATCTTTGATGGTAATAGGGGAAACTCTCAGTATCGCAAAAGCTCGGATCATCGCGCAAATCGGATTCAGCGTGCGCGGGTGGTATGGCGATGCGACCATCGGTTGGGGCATCCCACAAAAGGTGGTAATCGCGATGCACAATGAAGGATGGTGTCCAAGGACCGTTCAATTGCTCAAGTCTCAATTACGCAACAATGCTTCGGCTTTCCTGACAGCCTATGCGTCACACGGGCGCGGTCATTTCAAGGGACATTCCAGATGTGTAAAGGACCAACCTTGCAAAGTCAATCCTTTACGGGACCAGGAGTATGTAACAAAACACCACCCACAGTGTATACATCAAGAGGATGATCAAGAGTTGGGCGATAGACCCAGAGGAATTACCTGTCATCGGCGAAGTCACCAAATGCTTGGTGTACCATCGGATGCATTACTCCAGATCATCAATCGCGGCGACATACCTCTTGTTAGATTCAAGAAAAATGCGCCAAATGAAGAGCCGGTCTTGGAATTGACAGATGCGTCTCACGAACCAGACTATGCCACCATCTCTCATGTTTGGGCTGACGGGTATGGAAACAGCACAAGTAATGCGCTGTATCGTTGTCAGATTGTATACTTTCGGAGACTCCTGGAGGAAGCGCAGGTGCATCGAGCGAGATACCGACGAGGTAATCACAAGAACAAACCTGCGCCCCTCGCCTTCTGGATGGACACGCTGCTCATCCCCGTAGGCAGCGAAGAAGGTCAGAAAGCAGCGAGAAAGAAAGCAATCCACCAGATCTATACTGTATTCTCAGGTGCTAAATACACTATCGTTGTCGACAATGGCCTCAGCGGCATGTCCTGGGACAATCAGGACTACACGACTACAGCAATGAGGATCCTTGCGAGTGGTTGGATGAGAAGACTTTGGACCTTACAGGAAGCTTACCTTAGTCGTAAGCTGTTGTTTGCCTTCAAACACTTGGATGAAGACGACGACGAGAGCAAATGCCCGCCGCTAATTGACCTCGATGAGATAGAGGCATGGTATCACGAAGGTAGCCCGTCACTCGTATCTGATTTGCCTGCCCTGGCCCGAAGTTATTACAACAACCTACTTGGGCCTGACCGGAACGCGAGGAACAACAAAGACATAACAACTAACGGGATGAGTCTTATTGCGAGTGTATGGCGAGCAGCGCAGTGGAGAGTAAGTGGCACCCATGCTTCAAGTCAATTTGCATTCGTGCTAATGGCAATTCAAGAATACATCTCACAATGAGCACGAAACGTTAGCTCTTGCTACACTCCTTAATCTGGATCTCAGCAACAAATCATTCGGGACAGCCAACCTTATGAAGCCAGGCAATAACACCAATCTAGAGCTCGATACCATGATGAAAGACTTCTGGTTATCACTTGACGAGAGTTCACCTGGTTCGATTCCTCCGGGTATTATATTTCTACCCGGCCCTCGAATCCAGATCTCCGCATTCGGCTGGGCACCAAAAAGTTGGATGCTAGCACATGGGCCTGATTACCCAGATCCAGTTGCCCTGTCGAGGAAAGCGGCCGTCCTCTCGCCAGAGTATGGCCTGCAAGTAGAATTCCCGGGATTCCTTCTTCACTGCGAGGATAGAGATGCAATCCTTGGTCACCAAACGAATGGGACGGGGTTTCGGTTCCCGTGTGACAACTCACTGACCGAATATTATCGCGTTACCTGGGACGAAACGGAAGAATACAGCAAGCAAAGAGGTATCATCGGCGAACAGCGCAGCGAGGACCTGGCCATAATACTCTGTCGACCAAGACCTGGCCAATTTCCCGAGATTGGTCTGCTTGTCGAGATTCATACAACCAAACAGGAGAAAAGGGATCTCGGCCAAGACAGCGTCCGGAGGGTGTTCGCAGTCTACATGCGCCGACGTGTCAAGGTCAGGCGCGAGACTGGCGATTTGAACTTGGCGACCAAGGTCAAAGAGATCATGAATCGCGCCCACGAGGAACAGTCGAGAATTATCTGCGGCGAAATCCTTAACGAAGACCAGAAATGGATCGTTGACTGCAGGATCGACTCAGCTAAGAAGATGTCGAAAGAGCAAGTAGCAACTAGATCGGCTACTCCTGTGCGATCAACACGACCTTCTGTACCAGCCAAACGATCCGCAGTCATGGGGATAAGAAGCCCGCAAGACAGGGGGGCTGGATCCGGACCTGATCGTGCATCTCCAGTCTCGTCTTCTCATGCACGACATGCTGAACAGCCCTTCACTGGGAATGTAACAGACAGGGTGGACAGCGTGCAAAACCCAAGCCTACAAAGCGTAAGCTATAAACCCCCCAAAGTATCGACACCCGAAGAGGCTCCGGGCCCAGGTAGTCTTCCAAGAACCCAAACAGGGTTGGATGCGCTGCTTTACAGGAATCCATGGAAATGTTAAACTTTGGGAGGTAGAAGAAACTTTCCCTACGCTTGCCTTTCAAGCGTTCTGCATAATACAAATGAGCCACTGTGTTCCCATTGCTACAGACAGTTCTGTTTCGCCATCATTCGGCTCAAGCATCCTTGCTCGATTAGGCGAGAGCAGCCCGCCACAAGCTGAGCAATAGCGAAACGAGACTCATCGATGCATGATTGACGTAATATGATAAGCAAGACCCCACGAACCGCTTCCGTCATTGGACGCCCATTATGCAGTGTTTCCATGGGTGTCACACACCTCGCCAGGCTGAACTTCAGCCTGGTCTCTTTAATACATGATAAAACTGGAGCCGCACGAGTCTGTTCAACCCTAGTATGATCTTTCGTCCTTACGAAAAATGTCTGGCACTGGAAACCTGTCGACCGTGTCTCAGCTTTCGGCCCAGTGGACCAACCCGAACGATGTGCTCTCCCTGCTACTCATAATCGGTGGAGACATCGTTCAAACCGCTCTCGCCCAGACTACTGCCGGCGGATGGATAACGCCAGTATGCTTCTCGTTTGGTTGGGTAGCATACTCATTCAGCACACTCGTGCGCGTCCTTGGCGACGGTCGTCTCTTGCCACCGCCAGATTTCCCGGCCAAAGTCTTCAACCTCGAATCGTCCTACGTCCGAGAGAACAAGAACTGGGTGTTGGGCCGCATCCTGAGGGATAATGAGCTATTCATGAACAAAATACAGCCGCACGGAGGTAACGCACTCAGGATATCGATATACACCGCTGTGGCACGGAAGAAGGGCCAGGAGATGTCGAACGTCTACACCTTGTGGTTGTGGATAGGAGTCACATTGCTACAGATTGGTATTGCGAGCATACCTCTTGGCCGAGACGGCGAATGGGGAGTCTTTCTTGTGACCTGCAGCGGTATTGTTGCCTCAATACTTGCAGGCGCACTACCTCAGTGGCGAATCGAGAAGATCCCGCTCAAGAGGGAGAGCCGCAAGCTTATCGCTTTGACAAGTGGTAATGGGTCTCGCGACATCATGATCATCTACGGTGACAGGAAGGCGTTGGATCTCGAGGAACTCGCTGCTGGCGAGAGTCCTCGCTCTGATCGGGTCTGGGAGGCCCTAAATCTGTTCTCCACGCCTGTCAAGAACGAATTTGGCCTCGTAGAGCGCCGGAACAACAACACTGAAGTACGCAAGACTCGTATGTACAACGGACTGCCGCTCGGCGTTTGGGTGACACGTTTCGCGTCATTCTGCCAGGTAGTCTTCTGGTTAGCACTGCTTATCATGGTCGCTGGTCTCAAGACGCACAGCTGGTATCTTGTGTTGATAGGTTCTGTTGGCATGCTTCAGAACGCTATGTTGGCAGCTGCAGCAAGGCGCCCCGACCGTCGTGGACTTCCTCTAATGCTGGTTGATACCATAGCCACCCATCGCGTGATGGATGGTTTAATGGATCTCGATGCCACTATAAAGAATGCTGGCATATCACTTCGCGACGAGTTCTTTCCTGGACTCCTTCGCGAGGACGAAACGAATTGGTGGGACGGCGAGCGAGATGCCTATGATAGTGCTAGACTTGAAGACAAGAGACGTGGCACTCCTCGATCTCTACTTCGAAAGAAAAGTCTGGGTATTCCAGACATTGATACTACCGGGAAGGCATACTTGTACAGGCGCGCTTCGACAATGATGTCGGGAATGAGTTCCGATACCATGTCAGCCGGTGTTGGAAGCCCGTCAAAGCCTTCGATATCAAACGTTCCATCGATACCACGGGGTCTTACTAGAGTTAGTACTGTGGGTGAGGAAATGAGCGAAGTACCAACGCCAAAGGGAGGGACAGTGAGATTCCTGGCCTCAAGACCGTTTCAAGGAGTCGCACCTTTAGGTCCTCAGCCAAGCCAGGAACGGCCTTCAACAAGTTCATCAGATGTATCATCTGTACAATCTCCTGGATGGGCTTAGATAGGTAACAAATCTTCTCGGTTTGCTGGGTGTATGATGTCGGTTTTGGAGTCTGATTTCCTTTGCGTATGCAGTAGTAATATTTCGGGATTCATGTCGGTTTTAGTACGGTACACACGGTACCGTTCTAGATAGGTAGGCTATGTTCGTGATCAAAGAGGTGCTCAGGGCTGAGGTTTCGGTATAGCGCTTGCTTCCACATTCAAAGACTTCCCCTGATACACTGCCCGCTATTACACAGACGCAAGTGTATTGACTTAGATTATGTCCAAAAGCAGTACACTCCCGAGATAGCGACGCGAAGCTTTCGAACGACCACCGCATCCATCTCCGCAAGTCCATACCCACCCAATCAAACCTGAAATCTCCACCTCGGATGCCGATCCCCCATCTTAACATCCTCAACACTATCATGAAACCCACCCGTCTGCGGCCTCTCCACCAACACCCTCTCTTTCTCCGCATTCTCCCTCTTCAACAACACCCACAACACCCCCACAACCACCAGATTCAAACACAAATACCCCAGCGCAAAGCTATGCCCAAGCACATACCTCGGCCCAGAGTTCGCGCGATACAACTGCGTCCCCAGCACCGCCCCCAAATTCCCAATACTGATCTGCATAGCATTGGCCGTTGCGCGCTTGGTCTGTCCACTAACGTTGATGGCGGGCCAGCAGAGGACCAAGGCGACGGAAGGGTAGATGCCGATGGCGGCGAAGAAGGTTCCCACGTAAGAAACACCTGGTCGTGCTTTGGGATCGGTGTTGGCGAGCAGGATGATGTACCCGATGATTGCGACGGTGGAGGTGGTCAGGATGAAGAGGGCGCGGCGGGCGTAGCGTTCTGAGAGGATGGCCCAGAAGATTGTGAAGAGGGTTGCGACGGCGTAGGGGGGGATGGTTAGGAGCTGGGATTGGGCGGATGTGTAGCCCATGTCGCGGATGATTGTTGGCTTGGGGGGTGTTAGAGTGGTGTGCGCGTTTTGTGGGTTGGTTGGCTTACTAGGAATAGGGATAGAGTGTATAGTGGTAGACTCATGGTGTGGAAGGCAAAGGCGTAGAGCCAGATCTTGATGTCTTTTGCAGCAAGCAATACTTCCGCCCATGAGAATGCTTCGTCGTTCGTTGCGTCGCTGTCGGCTTTCAGACGTGCTTGCACGAAGGCTCTTTCTTCTTTGCTGAGCCAGCTGACGGTGGCGGGGTAGTTTGAGATGAACCAGTACGCGATGATTCCGATGATGATGGTGAGCAGACCTTCCTATGTTGCTGTTAGAGACGAATTCATGAGCAGGTTGGTGAGCGTACCAAGATGAAGATCCACCGCCATCCAGCGTAGCCTCCTACATTACGCATGTGCGCAATGCCATACGCCAAGATCTATAGTCGTCAGCTTGTCTCTTGTATGCGCAAGAGAGTTAGCATACACCACCAAAAGCCCCCGCAAGACTCGCGCAGCTAAAAAACAGCGAAATGCGATACTGTCGCTCATTGCGCTTATACCACATACTCAAATAATACACCACACCAGGAAACAGCCCCGACTCGGCCATTCCCAGACTACAGATAATTAGCCGGTGTCGCACTATCATTGTCTTCTCTAGATTACTCTACTCACAAAAACCGCACCGCAAAAAAGCCCGACAGGTTCTGCGTCACACCCATCAGCGTAGCCACAACACCCCACACCACTGTAAGCGTAGGCAACCAGAACTTCGGCGTCGTGCGTTTGAGGACGATGTTGCAGGGTATTTCGAAGAGGACGTAGCCGATGAAGTAGAGAGTGAGGCCCGTGAGGTATTGGTTGCCTGTCATACCGAGGTCGGTTGTTAGGCCTTCGATACGTGCGTTGGCGACTAAAGAATCTATCAGTACACTTTCATCAGCGGTGGATATGAAGAAGTCTGTACCATTGCTGCGATCAAGAAAGCTGAGCAGATACAAGATTGACACCGCGGGCAGGAGTCTCAAATCCAATGTCCTGAGTAACTTCTTTTCGTTGATGGTGCCCGGAACGATTTCTACATCGCTCGCGGAAGAGGTCGATGCAGCAGGTGCATCGTTCTTCTCCGATGCCATCGTCACGTTCGCACTAGTTTTCACGGGGAGTTGTCGAGACGTGTGCAACTCGTCCAACGAAGACGCGGCACGAAGGTCTACTTATCACCCCCACCACCCTCGCATTCCTCGTAGCTCGCAATGATGCAAGAACGTGGGTCAATCATCTCAAGCCGCGGCAGCGTCATGACCCAGAACCCATCGCAGCACCCCCTGGCGTAACCGCAAACGCTCATTGGAGCGCATCGCCAACCGCGTCGAATGCGAGATGCGCACAACTCTGACAGGACAAGCGTTATCGGCTTTACCGCACGGCATGGCGGGCGTGTTGCAAGGGCTTATGAGTTGGGGTTGTACACGAAATCGAGAGGTGGTATGTCGTGATTGCACTAGCCGCTTGGGGTATAGACCCGGATGGACCACGTTGTTATTCGATGGAGACGACAGGTGTTTGATGAGTGAACAGGTGATTGATGTTTGATTTGACGGGGTTTCGTCGACGAGTTTGCGTTCATCGGTCTTTGGATCAGCACGATCGTGGGGTGACGTGGGGAGGGTTTGATGGATGTTGTGGTACGAATGCGCGGATATGCGTTTGTGACGAAACATCCATGAATGGCAGGTGGCTCGCTCGGACGGATAGAATACGCCATTCGCTCAACGATCGGCACAGAACTATCGTTTCCCTTTCCCTCCAATAATCCCAATACCCCTAATGAAGAAAACAACAACAGCCGTAGACGCAACACTCATACCAAAGTTAAACCAAGCCGTCGTCCTAATGCCCACCTTGAGCGCATCATCCCAAGGCACCGTCTTATGTCCCTCCCCACCAATCTGATCCACACCCAACCCCTTCTCCCTAGCCACAACAGCCGTCTGCACCGCCGTCGCGATCGCCAGCCCAACCGCCCTCCCAATCTGCCCCACAGCCGTAATCAGCGCCCCTCCCAGCGACGCATCCTCCGCCGGCAGCGTCTTAGCCACAAACAACGTGAGAACAGGGAAGATGGTATCCGCACCCGAGACACACAGTACCATGGCAGGAAATCCATACGCCCAATACGTCGTATGTACCGGAATGGGAATTGCAAAAAGTAAGGAGGAGATGCTCACGCAGATCGTACTAAACGTGAGTATATAATCCCCCGGCACACGAGACAGAATCTGCCCCGTAATCGTAGCCACCAGAATCCCCGTGATGCCATTCGGTAGGAAGCGCAGCGTGGTTTGGATAACGGAAAGGCCCTGGTAGTCCTGGAACCAGTAGGTTGCGAAGATGAGGTAGTTGTTGAAGGACGAGAAGAACAGCGCCATGAGCACATTGGCAGCAGTGAACTTGCCGTTCTTGAAGATACTCATCTTCATCAAGGGCCGCCGCTCCTTCTTGTGCTCGAGGTAATGCTGCCAGAAGCCGAATGCGCCGATGATGATTAGTGAGAGCACGATGAGGACTGGTACCCATGGCGTACTCCAGCCCACGACGTTGCCTTCGGAAAGCGCAAAAACGAGGATAACAAGACCGATGGTGATGAGCGACCCGCCAATCCAATCCACCGTGTTGCGCAACACGGGTTCGGGCTCCATTGGCGGGATTGGAATGACGAAGTAACTCGCAACCGTAGAAATCCCCGCAATAATCCCAAACAACCAGAAAACCCACTGCCAATCGAGATACTCGCCCACGACACCACCGAAGATGTTGCCCAACACGCCACCCAGTGGCGCTCCGGCGCCAAAACAGCCAAAAGCAATGTCTTTGGTCTTGCCGGGTGGGAAGGTAGATGCGAGGATGCCGAGAGCAGTTGGTGCCATGGCGGCGGCAGCGAGACCCTGGAGACCGCGAAAGATGTCGAAGCCGATTTCATTGGGGATGAAGGGCGTTATTATTGATGTGAGTGTGAAGGCTGCGGAGCCCCAGAGGAAGATCATTCGTCGGCCGTAGACGTCTGCTAGACGGCCCCATAGTAGCTGGATGGCATTGTTAGGGAACGATGAACTAGAGAGGGTGGTTTAACGGCGTACCAGGAAGCAACCAAATGTAAGGTTGTACGCAGAGATAATCCACTGCTGACGACTAACTGGAATATCCAACTCTTCCCCAATGGTAGGTAGAATAATGACTGAGGCTTGAACCGCCATGGTCTAACACAAGTTAGTCAGTCTCCTTCCTCTCTTCTCCAGCAAAAATCGTCGGGCGTACTCACACTCAAAAACGGCGCCGCAGCAATCGTCGTAACAAGCGCCACACACCGTGCTTTCGAAAACGGCAAGCGCTCAGACGCCGATGTATCCACAGCCACAAGCCCATTCTCTTTCTCTGCATCATCCGCCGCTTCGTGTGTGGCAGTGACCGCCTGTTCCAGATCCGTGACGCCCTCCACAGGCTCAGGAGTTTTCTCTTGGCGCTTCGACATCTTTAGCACACACTACAAAAGATTTCATATGACTGTAGGCAGCCTCCGCCATGCTCCCAGTGGGGTAGCGCATCTTTATGAACGTTTGAAGTTTGGGGGGAAGAATATGCCGAAGAGCTCGCTTGCCGACCGCCACGAATGCGCCTTTACTAGTGCGGCTAAGGGTTTATCCGGGGTGTGTGCAGGTGGAAAAGGTAGGCACAGTACAGCAGCAAGCTCTCGTTGTATGACGACTGTTAGGACGATGCGGAAAAGTAATCCTGATCTGCGAAATACGAATAGAAAGACATTCTCAATGGTGGTAGTGCAGCGGGAGGAATAGTCTTACATTCCACCAATCGCAGCGGGCTTATATCAGCAGGGACTAATCGTAGCAGTTCGCTGTCGGTATAGTAGCAGCTGCATGTCAACGAGCGCAAGAGAGAACGGCGACAGGCGACATTACATAGTCAAGATCAAGATGACAAGTCAAGACAGTGGACATAAATTCATTGCTCGTGCTATTACGTTCCAGTTCCATTCCAAGTCGTCAAGCAACCTCAATCGATGTATGCAAGAGGGAGAAACGCGACCGAACCACTGTTGCCCAAGAGCCAGCCATCAAGAGAAGGCGGCGGCGACATCATCAAACAAATAGTCTAAGCGCGAAAGGGGGTATGAAGAAGAGGGAGCAAAGGAAGACTTGTTTATGGCTTGTGGATGTCAATGACCATCTCGGTCTCGACGGTTTCCGCCTTCTTGGCGAACCTGGCGACATCGGCGCCCTCGACCTTGCCGTACATGGTCTCGGCGATTATGCCGGTGATCTGGTATGGGTCACCGTTGGAGGCCGGGCGGCGGTCCTCGAAGTAGCCCTTGCCCTCGGCTGCGACGGCGCGGGGGATACGGACGGAGGAACCGCGGTTGGCGACGCCCCAGGTGAACTTGTCGTAGGAGGCAGTCTCGTGCTTGCCGGTCATGCGGAGCTGGTTGTCTGAGCCGTAGACGGCCATGTGCTCGGCTTGGCGGGTGGACAGCTTCTCCATGGCGGCCTCAATGGCCTTCATGCCGTTGTCGCCACGAGTCTCGTTGGTGGAGACGTTGGTGTGCAGACCGGCACCGTTCCAGTCACCGGGGATGGGCTTGGGCGCAAAGGTAACCTTGGCACCGAACTCCTCAGCGACGCGGTGGAGCAGGAAGCGCGACATCCAGAGCTGGTCACCGAGCGAGATGTCGGGGCAGGGACCGACTTGGTACTCCCACTGGGCGGGCATGACCTCGGCGTTGGTGCCGGAGATGGCAATCTCGGCGTACATGCAGGCCTTGTAGTGAGCCTCGACAATGTCACGGCAGAAGACCTTGCCGGTACCGACACCGCAGTAGTAGGGGCCCTGGGGGGCGGGGAAGCCGTTCTTGGGCCATCCGTAAGGCCAGCCAAACTCGTCGAGAAGGGTGTACTCCTGCTCCAGACCGAACCAGAAGCCGTGCTCCTTGTGCTTCTCGAAGATGATGGCGGCGTCGTGACGGAAGTTGTAGGCGTTGGGCGAGCCATCCGACATGTACGTCTCGCACATGACCAGGACATTGTCGCCCAGACGGAAGGGGTCGGGGTAGTATGCAACGGGGCGGAGGTAGACGTCCGAGTTGTCGCCGGGCGCCTGGCCCGTCGACGAACCGTCAAAGTTCCATTCTGGGAGGTCCTTGAGGCTCTCGACCTTCGACTTGAGCGTCTGCGTGCATGTCAGTATGAGCCTCGGGTAATCGGAATGAAGTCGGGTGGGATAAGGGAACGACGTCACTGCGGGCTGTGGCTGGTGGTGGGGTGCGATAAGAAGGAACGCCAAAACTCCCGGCAGAAGGAGCGATTGGCGCCATGTGCGTCACACATGCAGACCACCACGCTCGCGACTCCAGTCGTCGAATGGCTTCTCCAGATTGTGTATCGCACGGCGCGTCGCAGCCAGTTGCTGCTCTCGGCTAGAAACCTCGAACCGCAGACTAGACCGATCCGCAGCCGTAGCGTGGTGCAAATGCCGCGGTATATCGCAGAGATCGTGGAGATCGGGTTGAAGGATCGGAAAGCTGGAAAATGCTCACCTTTGACTTGGAGCGGATTCCGTTGGAACCGTCTATCCAGACGTACTCGGCCATGACAGCGCCCTTTTGGGGGAGGTCAAGGTACTTCTTGAGCTGCAATGCGCGTTAGCATGTGTTTGGATGTAGCACGCGAGCAGTAGACTTACGTTGGCCGCATTGGAAACAATCGTTGAGTTCGCCTAGAACATGGTCAGCAAGAGTCGCGTGTAGTAGCAGTCGGCGACACGTACCATGACTGTGGTTGTGTATGTGTGGTGGTGAGGGAATAGCAAGTAACTCTTGACTGCGACAAGACAAGGCAGTGGAGGGGTTATAAGAGGGGTCTCTGTGTGAAGTGGGGAGTTATGATGGGTAAGTAGATAAGGATAGCGGGCCTGGGGGTCTGTTATAAGGTAAGAATGCTGGATTGCTTTGACTGTCTCGGCCTGTGGCGGGGCTAGCCGTGCTCAGATACTACTTAGGCTGGCCGTAGCCAAGAGGCGTCGCCGAACTGTTTCCGTGGGATGAAGAAGCAATCAATGTCTCTAA